TACCATTCAGTGTTTTGCACTGTCAACAGAATTGGTGATATTATGTTCACTATAGATTTACTTTTTCCTATTGAGTGTTAAATGCCTATATACTGTTATATTATCAAATTTTAAAATGAAAGTTATGTAGTATATTTGAGCCAGCCTTGGGCTACAAGTGAAGCATGACATTAATCAGCAGACACCTGTATCTCCAGGGAACTCTTCATCGGCTTTTCCCACCATTCTTGGATCACTTATGTGTGCCTAGCACTGTGTTAGGTGCCATGAGAAGTGAGCAAGTCAGCCACACAAGGTCAGCACCCCCCCTCTCACATTGCTGCTGGAGATTGACCCACAAACTGAGCAGAGAAATGGAAAACAAAACAAGCAAAGGAACAAAACCCCTCCTCTGCATAAGGTGGTAAGCGCAGGAATACAGAAGTGAGGGCAGGATCTACTGCAGGTGCTTTGATGTAATTTGAGCAGCTCAAGAATTTAATAACCATCTTGTCTGCCTAATTAGCGGACAGCCATATCATTCTTTTAGGTACTTTTGTAACAATTACCAGACAAAAGGGAAAACAATATTAATTAGCATCTCTCATGTATTTGATTCATCTTAAAGCAATTACCATTACAGATGGAAGAAGAGAGGTTCTGAAAGGGTTAGGATCCAGACCAAGAACCCAATCAAAAGCTCATTCTGTTAAGCAAGAACCTAGCCTACATAAATAATAAAAGGCAAAAAAAAAAAAATAGCTTCCTTACTCTGAAAATCACATTATGTGCACATTTTATTCTGCTGTAATGTCCTAAATTATTTCCATGGTTAAAGTATCTTGAAAGCTAATACATTAAAATTCAATACTGTTTCTACAGGAGAAAGGAAGAACACATTGTATCTGAGCGATAGAGGAGGCCATCTCTAGTATCTCCATCTAGGGTTGATTCCGCCTGGTTGCATCCTGGTCTCCTCTTTCATTTTGTTTTTCCCCCTTCAGAGATGGACCTAGACTTCAAGGTAAGAGGCTCAAGTACAATCTAATAGCAGGAACAGTTAACACTTCCTTTTTCTCCTCCTGCTGTCTTCTGCCTTCTTTCTTTCTCCATACTCTCTAAAAGTTAATGACTTATTCCTGATTCAATACTTACTGAAACGCGGGGACTACCCTGGGTGCTGGGTATAAAGCACAGTGTGAGGAGACAGACCTTCGAACCAGGACTTTCTAAACCATGGGTCTCCCTCCTTTTCCCGCCCTTTCTCCCCCCTCTGACAAAGGCGGGGTTCTGAAGTTGGACTTGGGGTGATTAACCCAGAGGAAGGAGGCAATGCCTGCCCAGATCTGAAGATCAAAGAACTCGTGCAGCCAAGACCCCAGAGGAACCCGTGGAACTCAGAAAATGCCGCTGGCACTGTGAGTTTCCTCGGGTAGTGCCAGAATTTGGAGGAAAGGATGCAAAGATAAGAAAAGATGTTTCGATGGCCAGCTGTGCCTAGCTAGTGCCTGCGTGATCTTCTGTCACAGAAACCCAGAGCCTTCCCTGGGCTGAATCTCTGCCTGCTGCAGGTCCGCAGCGCACCCTGAAAGGGGATAGAAGGCCGAGCTGGCTCAGGCTAAGAAGCCAAGCCTCCTTCCCCCTCCTCTCTACTTCCATAGTCTTCTCCCAGGCAGTAAACCCTTGGATGGCCTTTCCCTCCTTGGTCCTTCCTCCCGGCAGCGCTCACCCCCACGCTCACCCTCACCCCTGGCGTCTGTCCTTGTACCCAACCCCAGTTTGACTTTCTGAGGCACAGGGCGCTGAACCAGAGCAAGCCCTGCTACTCCCACTACAGTGGGGCTGAAATCTTTCAGGTCTGGGAATGAGTTGAGAGAACCTTTGCAAGAGGTGTGAGAACCGGGTTTCTAGATTTTTTTTCTTAGAGGCCTAAGGGAACCAGCAACAGCCTGGCCCTAATCGATCCAGGTCTTTAATACAACGAATCATAACTGGAATTTATCTTCTAGGGCACAGGATGGGCATTCACAGGTTCACAACGCTAGGGTGGGTGATTGACGGGCAGTTAGGTGCCATGTCACCCTGGAGTGAACAGAAAATTGAACCAAGCTGAAGCCCAGAACTGGAAGTGTGTTGAGAAAAACATCCCTGCCAGCATTTCCTTTCCCTCCTCATTAATTCTTTTTGTTTCCTTAATTAGTCCTAGATAAGCAGCAGTAGCATCACAGAAAACTTGAGTGTCGCCAATTCTAGGGCCCCACCCGGGACTTCCTAAATCAGCGTCTCTGGAGGGTGAAGAAACCAGGCAATATTTGAACACACAGAAGCAGCACTGACTTAAAATTCCCCCTTGGACAGTGTGTTCACTAATGATTAAACATGTCGGAATGGACACCAGATCTCTGTTTACTGTTGCTCTTTTGGAAAAAGCCTCTGATCTGACTGTGGGCACACCTGCTAAGAGCACACTAAATTTCTTGTAAAAATCCTGTCATACAAGCAATCACAGAGAGAGAGAGAGAGAGAGAGAGAGAGAGAGAGAGAGAGAGAGAGATAAAGCCAAACTGCTGATCAGTTATGTGCCCATATGCCAAACATTTGAATCCATCTGCTTCTCCTGAGAACTCATACACTTTTTGAAACACTTCTTCCCTTCCAGGTGGTTATGGTGCCTCACCAGATTCTCTCTGAAAGTGCATTCTCTAAGATAACTTTTATAACTTAGAGAACACAGGACATATTCTATCAGCCACTCTACTGGTTTTGGGCAAATGTTCCCTATTTCTGCTTTGCAACTGCATGTTAGATTGTGGCATAGGAACCTAGGCTGGGCATTAGGTAGTCAGGGAGTTGTATCCTTTGGAGAAGATGTGGGGAAGCTGGGCACGGTGAATGTGGGCATGATCTGGTATAGGAGAAGGGCTCTTGGAGTCAGGATGCTTAGACTCTGAGTGTGTAATGGAGGGGTTTGGGAGTTGCCTTCTCATGTCCCAGAGCTCTTTGTAGCTAAAACCCAGTCAGTCTACATCTGTGACCAGGCCCCAGTGTTGAGACTCCCGGATGGCACAGTGTGTCTTTATCATTAGACACTAACATCCTTCTATTTGCAGCTCAACTCTTGGTCTATCTTTGCTCTGAATTTTTCTCGATTTTGGATTTCTAGGCATCATCTTTGGAGAAAATCAGAGAACACCAGAGAGAGGTGGGAGTAAGAGGAGTCAACACTGTTTTGAAGAGACGCATTTTAGTTTGTACAATCAAAAGGCCATTGCCAGTGCATTGAAAACGTAGGCCATTTTGAGCTTCCTGCCTGAGACACTTTCAGTTTGGGTGGAGGGTAAATAGCCACCTGCCGCCCCATACAAGTATGGGATAGTTGCATGGATCATTTCTTTCATAAAGAGACTGTACTGATAGTTTTACTTGAGCTATACTAAGGCTTGGGGCAGTGAAAGAGGAAAAAGTATGAATATGACTATTACTGTCATTATTATCATTTTTAATCTTTATTTGCAGGGATGAGAAAACAGGGTTTAGTCCTTTGAGGAAACAGCCAGCTGCATGTGGAACCGACTGTTCACTTCCCATAACCTTCTGCCTCCAAGCCAAGGCTTCAACTTATAAGGAGGTTGTAGGAAGACTTTAAAACGCATAGTCTTCAGTTTTGACAGAGAATGATAAGCTGGTGCTCATGATTTCAAGTTTATTTGGTTTATGAAACGGGGCTAGAAGCATGGAAAGTTTGCTGAGCGGTAATGGCAAGCTACTGAATCCCGATGTCACCAGCCTCTCCTCTGAATCCTGTGGATCAGTTCTGGAGAGGGCTCTGTCCCTCTGGTAGAAGTGAAAGGTATATGTGAATTTGGGGAAGATAAAACAGAGTTTGAGATGAGCTCTTGGAAGTCAAGTTCGTGTGGACAAGAGAGTCACCTGACACCTTAAAATATTCTCCGGTGCAAATGTGCAAATGACACGAAGCGTCACAGAGGCCACCAGTCCTCCAAGAATGTACAATTGCACCCTGGGGCGCGCTGTGGCTTCTTAGCCGGGACCAGCCCGGGGAGATGCTTCCCAGCAAGCCAGGCAGAGGGCTCCACACTGTGTGGCCTTTGGGGTTGGCTGGAGGTAAGTGCGGGAGGGGAAGTCCTTATTCCAGGTACCAGAGTTGAGAAAAGGGGGAAACATCGAAAAGAAAGAGCAAGCGAAGCGGAAGTTTCAAGGCCCTCTGCGAGGAATAACAGTATAAATAACCGAGGACGTCTTGTAAACACTGCGGTCATAACCCCGAACATTAAACAGCCGCGGTGGCATCTGGCGCATCGGCCTCAGCGGGCTGCACTGGGGCAGAGAGGCAGCCGGGTCCCAGGCTCCTCGGCCTCGCTTCTCTGTTTATCTCAACTTAATCTTCCCCTAGGAGCTGTTCCGCAGCCTGGAAGATGTTTAAGTTAAGACCCAGCCCGCCGGAAGCCTTGGCGGGAGCTGAACGCAAGGGGTAACCGCAACTGAAAAGCGGGTTTGCGCGTTTATTGTTGGAATTAATTAATTATCAGTAAGAAATACGGAAAATAAATATGTTGCGGCATTTTGGAATTCATTTGTAGCTCCTATCACGTCTCTAGTTTGAAGGCAGGACTTTTTTTTGAATCACAGCCACGCCCGGAAAGTTATAAAACTGCGGGAGTTTACTTTCTTGCTCCTCCGAGCAATTACATTGTAAAATACTTGAAAATTCAATTTTCTGTTTCGCCTGTGTTTTTCCTCTGGGCTGTGTGACTGAATAACTTTAATTCTGCGCATTCTCTGTTTGTTAGGGTATTCTAGTGGGCTTAAAAATAACTTGTAAGAACTTTTAAAGTTCAGAATACGGCTTGCAATTTCTTAGTGGAAATCATAGTTAATCTTTTACCAGAAGTTTGGATTGAACTTTAAAAGAAATATTTTCTGTGATTAAGCTCTTCCATAGATTTCCACTGTTTTCTTAAAAATAATTTTTTTTGAAGACATAACACCAATACCAGGGCTTTTTAGCAATATAAAGAAAGATTTATTTTTCGAAAGTAGCAAAACTTGTTTGAAAAAAATATATTTCTTTGAGTGAATTACTTTATAAATGTGACTGTCAAAGTCAGTTAATCTATGATCTACATTTTACAACTTATTATACAAAAGATACACATTGATAGGCTCTTATCTATTTATATATACATATATATATATATAATTACATATTGCACTTGGACCAGCCAGGCTAGCAGTCATTCACGATAGAAGTTAATAAAGTTAAATAGTTGGGAATCTGTAAGTACAGTTGATCTCCTCTGCTTTGGAAACGAATCTCCTCGTCGCGGTTAAGTGTTCTCGCAGGGTGGGATGGGGAGAGGAGAGATGCGAGGGGCCAGCAGGGAGCGGGGAGGGCAGGGGTCGCCCCTGGCGGGGCCCTCTCCCCCCGGAGCGCGCCTTTCCCAGACTCCAACCTCCAAGGTCAGGACGCCGTGGTTCCACATAAGCGGCTCGCGGTCACCACTTCTTTCAGATCACTCTCGGGTTTGCCGGCCACCATAAAGGGCCACGTCTGCAGGAGAGAAGAGGGTGGAGGCGGTGAGTGGACTTGGAGCTGGGGGAGGAGTGCGCCTGAAACTGGAGTGGCAGGAGGTGGTGCGTGTTGGCAGGCGAGGTGGGGGGGGCGCTTATCTGCCATTTTATCCGGGTACTAGTGCGCCCCGCCGCAGGGTAAAGCAAAACACAGTTCCAGGTGGTGGTGGTAGTGGGCTTTCAGAATAAGCGCAAAAGAGGCTTATTTTGGGTTCCAGCTGAATCCTCCGAAGAAGCGGAGCGGCAGTCACCCAGATGCTCTAGGAGTCTGAGCTAGGTGGCGGGGAAGGACCGAGTCTGCCCTCTCTGCGGGTCTGCTGAGGCCCTGGTCCTGCTTCTGGGTCTTCTCAACTTCCTACACCTCCATCCATCTCCCGGATGCCTACTTCCCTTTCCACCAGGGCCAGTCCAGCTTTTACTGCAATTTTAAGCTAAGGGTGTGTGTGTGTGTGTGTGTGTGTGTGTGTGTTAATAAAAAAGTATAGGGGCATTTAATATAAGTTCTTCTTGCTACTGAAAAAGCAAAGCTTTTTCTTTATTTCTTTGAACTGTTATGTGACAAAACACATTTAAGATTTATATATACATATATGTATGTATATATATGTATATATATGATGAAGGCAGCAATTGTAAATGTTCTCAGCAATAATTTCTTTTTGTTTTTAGACTGTAAAAAGGGCTACTCATCTAGTTAAAAAACACTTTTAATTGGAGGGAAATAGTTTTGATGCCAAAATGTGGTTTTTGCATCCCCTCCCCCAATTCCTTAAACCAGTTGGGTGTGAAGAAAACTCGGGCCTCTCTAAGTGCTGGCGGATAAAGGAAATCTCCTCCTTATCATATATAAACAGAAGTGTTGGTAAAGTGTTGTTTTTCTTTAGAGCCTGCAAGTTTTAAAATGAAATCAAATGAAAGAGGGCGTACGGCAAAACACATTTGGGGAAAGTTGGCTCGATGAGCATTGAGTTTTGTATTTTCAGGAATTAGGCTCGATGGACATTGCTTATGAAGAAGATAAAGTAACAATTCTTAAACGAGACCTTTTACTGCACTGTTTTTCAGTACACTGAGAACTGAGCGAATTTACTGTTTCTACTAACAGTTGCTGGGATTTGAAAATGATAACCTATTAAGTAGTTGGGGAATTTACGTGGACAGTTATGTGGGTGCGACACGAATGTGTCTGCCTTTAACAGTCCTAAATACACCCAGGGAAAGGACAGCGTTGGGTGTTGACAAGAATTAGAAAGGAAAAATCAAGTTTTGTTCTCAGCTAATAGAATAAAGGGATAAATGTCTTCTGGGGGCTCAGCGTCTCGTCAGTTTCACGACAGCGGAAATGGCGCTGGCACCGGCGCGGGGATCCCTCCTCTTTGCCAGCTGAATACCCTTAGAAATCCCTTAATGGGGTGCCACGTCAGACTCTCGCAGAAATCACTCGTGATCCCGAGGGCACTCAGTGCAGAGAGCCAGGGCGGCATGGGGATCCCCTGCAAAGGTCCCCGGCGGCGCCAGGCCGGCGGTGACCACCGGGTGTAAGTCACTGGCGCCCAGCTCCGCGCATCTCTGATCACCCGGCCCAGGACTGCGGGAGCCCTGGAGCTGGCGCTGGGCACCCCAACTGGGGCACCGCGGGGGGAACTCACCAGGTTGACTGGGTGGATGTAACCGTTCTCGTACTTGTCGTTAGCCAGGATCTGTCTCAAGTGCGCGATGTAGCTGGAAGCCAGCCTGAGCGTGTCCAGCTTGGAGAGTTTGGTGTCCGGCGGTACCCAGGGCAGGGTGGTCTTGAGCCTGGAGAAGGCCTTGCTCAACACCCGCATACGAGCCCGCTCGCGCGCGTTGGCGGCGTTGCGCTGGACCTGCTTCCCCTCCTGGCTGACCCCGCTCAACGGGCTCTTCTTGGTGGGCGCCTTTCTCCTCTTGCCCAGGCCGCCGCGACCCTTCTGCGGAGACCCATTCTCGCAGTTGGAGCTCTCCTCGGTGCTCTCGTTGGAAGTCACAAACTCCTTGTTCGAGTCCACTTTCAGCCCGTCACATTCCAACATCTCCACCTCTTGAAGGTCTTCCACATCGCTGAGGGAGCCAGTGGACATGTTTGGAGGGGGGGCGGGAGAGAGAGAGAGAGAGAGAGAGAGAGAGAGAGAGAGACCACAGGGTCTCCCAAGCGTGGAGCAGCCACTTCCTATGTATTGGGAGTTGGAGCCTGAGTCTCACTGCTCTCTCTTCACAGACTTGTGGAAAGGCCTGCAAGGGCTTCTAAAAGGAGGAAACCAAGGCTCTATTTCCCCACCCCCGGAGTCGTGGCCTGAGAGTGTGAGAGAGCGCTGAGGAATTTGGTGGACACTAGGAATTTATCTGGGGAATAGAGAGGCGGATCCGTGCAACCCAGGGGAGGGGCCTGCTAGGCCCAGGGAGCTCAAGACCCCTTTCACAAGCACAAGAGACTCTCACGCACCGACTGGATTTCCAGCATGTAATGTAATCAATTCAATTGCAACACGCACTTACCAGTTGCCTTCTTCCACTCAGGCCCAGGCCAAGCAGGAGAAAGCTCTGCTTACTGCCCCTTGCCTCTACTCATCCCCTAAGGCCTTCTCTTTCTCTGAGGGGGCCCCAGTTGGTTGTACTGAGAACTTCTGAATAATGTCCAGATCCTTTGCTCTTAGTAGGCCATAGGAGTGCTCCTTACATCTCCTCCTCCCAAGAAAATATCGATTAAAATCCAAATGGGGCCCAACTGCCTCAGGTTAATGCCTCTTAAGACCCCAGGGCTTTACCAAGATAGCTTTCCACTTTACTAGAGGTAAATAAAGTAAGTGTTTTACAGAATCTTTACAATGTTAGGGACAAATTACTAATGAAAGAAATGAAGAAAGAAAACAAGTTAAAGAAAATCCATCTTATATTAAGGACCCATTACACTTGACCATTTTGTATACACACATTTACATACAAAACTCTACACAATTGAGTGGGGATGGGTAGGGAATGAAAGGGGGTCATATCGGTGTGTGGAAAATATTTTGTTAGTTGAGAATCTTTTCTCAGTGAAACAAAAACTTTCAGTGCCTTTTTTTCCCGAAACTCATTTTGTAGGGTCTTATCAAGTTAGTTGGCTCACAGACATCACTTTGTCTGAGACTGTAAAAGATGTAAAGTTCCTGCCCATGCTTGTCTTCCTCTTCTCCATCCTCTGCTGCTGGAGTTCCTCATGTAAAGCTGACACTATAAAACACAAAACAGGGCTATTCTTTCGTTAAAGGTCCTTTTCCAATCTTAACCCCAGCTCACGCTATCATTCTCAGAGAACAAGGCAATCTTCCGGAGAGGAAGTGGAAAAGCAAAGGGAACAAGAACCCAAAGCTTGAACAAAATTGATGCCATGAAACCAGGGAGATGAGTGAATGAGGCTTACCAACGCTGTCACAATTTCTTTCCTTACAGTTAGAGGCTGGAGGATGAGGCTGGAGCAAAATGTAAGTGCATTCAAAGCATTTGGCTCAGTAGGGGCCGCTCTGTCACATTCAGATATCATATCTCTAATCCCTGCTCAGCTGGGAATTCACTAACCTCAAACGCTTTGTTTTGTTAGCAGGGATTTGTTTGCTTTCCCCTATTCCGTAAACTAAACAGATTGTCAGCAAATCAGTCTTTATTAATGAATTAGTGAACCCTTTCCCCCCTATAATATCTTTCCCGAGGATCCAAAATTTGTTAATCACCAGGATAGAGATTTATGAGCTCTTATTTTCTGTTGTTTGTGCAGGTGGAGATTTAAATGACCGTATCCACTCCCAAGATTTATTGCAAGAGTGATTGATGTTATAAACCAGGAAAGGACTCTTCCCACAGCAAGGATGACAGAAATATCAAGTTGAAGTTGACTTTGTCTTCATGCACAAGTGACCCAGTACCACAACACAGAAACTATAGTAATTCAATCTGAGGTTCATGACAGTGTTAACAGAATGCCCAGCAAGCCTGTTTGAACTTTCCCTACTGATTCCCAAACTTTCTTTGCCCCATTCCTTCTTTTTCTCAATCTTGGTAGTATGTAAAAGCTAAAGTTAGTTTTACACTAAAGAGCTATGTGAGAGTAGGCATTGGCCAGAGCTTTATACACTGTGTGTGAGCACACACATATACATGCAACATAACCACAAATCATTTACTTGCATTCTATAACAGGGAGATAATTCAAAGTCTGAATTATTGCCTTACTTATATACAAGGCTGTTAAGCTGTGACAATTCTTTTTGGGTCTGAATCTCTGCTGTGCGTCATCAGGTAGGCTGCTCCAGCCATTTGGAGAATATCTACAACCACAGTAATTTGTTCCTCTGAAGACTGTTGCTGTCTATTTCTTTGGCATTATAAACTTAAAAATAGCAATTTCTGGAAGGGAGCAAAACTAGTTTCATATTATAACCTGGATTTTATGACTAGCAATTAATTTTTCTTTATAGCAATGTAAGCAATAATTTAAATCTCATGTGCATTTATCTTGCAGTGATACATTTAGGCTGGGAAGGGCTGGTGGGTTGATAATGAACTTTGGGAGATTTCTAAATTTCTACAAGGAGTAGCCACCAGTTTGGGAGTAAGTGTGAAAAAAGCTGCTATTTAGCTATATTGACATCAATTTCTGAAGGAAGTAACTTAAAAATGCTTTTTTCCTCTTGAATTTTGCATCTATCTTTGCTAAAAAAAAAAAAAAAAAAAAAAAACCTAAGGGACAAATGGATGGAGAAAATGACTGATTGTTGGATTCCACTGAACAAATCAGCTAAGCTGTAACTTAACCTCTGCCAAATTCTTCCAAAATATAAACTATATTCTGTGAGAAGGAAAGCACTTTTGAGAAGCTAATTAACCCATAAAATAACAGGAGAACTACTTTGAATGTAACCATTTCAAAGCAGTAAATAGGAAACTCATGCTTTCAAAGCAAGAGATAGTTCCTTAAAGTCTTACCTTACTTTTAAATCACAGCTGATGTCTCTGAGGCATCTGGCCAATTTACTGCACACTTCTAACAATTTGTTTTGGAAGAAAGACTGTCTTTTAAAGATTTTAGTGCTAAAGAAAATTTATCTCCAAAAGTTGTAAAATGAAGATTAGACATGGAATGTATCCTTGAACTTAAATCCTGCTTTATCAACTGATACATTTTCAGGAAATTCAAATTTGATTCAGTTGTACTTGGATGAAATAATTTGCTCCCCTTTTTATGGGAAAGCAAACATCACAGGCTTCTTTTGAACTGACTTCTATGCCATCATTTTATGTTTCTGGTGTGTGTGTGTGTGTGTGTGTGTGTGTGTGTGTGTGTGTGTGTATGTGTGTGTGTGAGGAGGGGGGAAATCTGCCATTAAATTCTAATTTTCATCCTTCTCGTCTACCCAAGCATGGGGCTAGAAGACACCCTGGCTAGTGAATCAGCAAAACCACTAATTCCCTTCTTTTTTCTTCCTTTGTAATTAATGTGCAAATGTTTGATTCTTTTTATTTTGTGGGAACCATGGTCAATTTGCCAACCTTCAATGAAGGTTGGTGCGTCTTTCTCCACTCTGTGCTAGTTCCACCAGACCTTTTGTTCACAATTCTCTTGCTCATCAGCCCATTGATAACTCTGCCTTGTTTTTGTTAAATTTGACCTTCATTTCATTATCTGTGCATACTTTGCCCCGATTTCAAATTCAAATAATGCTGGTATGTGTGTTTGGCAATCAATACGAATGTAAGTCAAGAGAGCCTTGTGATTATTTTAGGAAGGTAGGGATGGGGATGCTCAGTGTTGCTGTTACCTTTACCTGGCCCCAGCCCAGGTTGTAAATCTATCAGTAATCAGAAATCTTTCTGGTGTTTACAGTCCACTATCCCCCTCTTTTCCTGGTAATCAATGAATCGTAGTGCAGATGCCATAACACTAAGATCTATGGCTGACAAATAGCATTAAGAATGTCTAAAGAAAGACTCTTCATGGTTCTTTGGATCCAAGAGTTAACCTTATATAGTACATTTCACGTTCTCTGTACTACAGGGCTCCCCCTCAACTCTGCTCATACAGGGGACCTGTATGCAGGCCAGGCTATCCTGACAGTCTATGTAGCCAAGGCTTCTGTCCTCTGCCTTTGGCCTCTTCCTCTGGGATACTGGGATTCCAAGCACGTGCAACCACTCTGAGCTTATACTGTAGTTTTGAAGGCAGCCAAGCCCATACTTTTGAAGGACAGGGTTTATTTTAAGGAGCAAGTGGTCTGAATTAAACTTAGACATTCTGAGGTAAATGCTTTATAAAGTCAGTTTAATATCCTGTTTCCTAAGACTAAAATAATTTTTATCACACCTGTTTGATGTTGGGAAAAGAGAGAGAAGGTTGAAACAACTGCTGAGCTATGTACACACAGGGTACTTTGCCTCCATTCTTTCATTTACTTAGAATCCCCTCCTAGTCATTATTAAAGAAAAAGCTGCTATATGAAATGAAAATATTTATTAAAATGTGTGCCAGAGACTCTCCAGCTAACGGTGAAGTTTTAGAAAAACTTTCTTGATTGATGATTATTCTGTCTTACAGCAAAGTTTGAAAGCAAAATTCTCTCAAGTTTTCTTAATAAGAATAAATCTTGTGGATTTCATGGAAGACATTTCTAAAGCCCTTATATGTTAAATACAGTTGTTTGATGGACCTGAGAAAGCTACAGGGCCAATTTATGGTCAGCCTCCTTCCTGTCAGGTTAGGAAAAGAAAAGGCTCTTTCTTGACGTTCTTTCTATGAGATTGTTTCCTCGAAGCAGGTGCTTTCAGCCTTTAGGAATAGAGAGGAAGGATCAGTTGGACAGTTTTGAGGATGTGTATTCTGTCCCCAGGGACTTGAATTATTCCCATTTTAAATAGAGACATAAAGTAGTTTATTGTCAGAATTGGATAAGCCAAAAGGAAAGGAGGCCTCACACGGTCAAGAATTCTGTTCCCACAAGATGTCAATGACAGTACTGTCATAGAGTCTGTGTCCTGGTTTGCCTTGTAATGCTCCTTCCATGAAACCATGTTGCTTTGAATGCTTTTTTTCCTATTTGAATAATAATCAAATAACTTTGAGGAAGTTTATACTCTGTTATGTCCTGTTTCTTAACAAGATCCATTAATAATTTAACTCTGAGCTATATAAAATGAGATAATCATGAGCTTTCCTGGGGAATGAATCTTAGAAACCTAAGATGGTTCAAGTAACACATGTACTAGAAGGATTTTGTTTAAATAAAAATTTTTTCTCTACTAAAGAAGGCTGGATGAACAGTCCAAGGGCCACTTGTTCAAGAAATATATGCATATATCTATCTTCTTTCCACTT